TAGGATCGCCAAATAAAGTATTTTCTCCAGACGGATGTTTTTCAGCTAGCCCAAGCAAGGCAATAAATCTTTTATAAAAACACTGGTAATGACATATTCAATTCGTTCCGAAAATAAAAATTCAATCGCACCACAAAAAACTAGTAATCGACAACAACAATTTCCGGTTAATCAGCATCCACGAAAACATTTTCAACACCATCCGGGATATTCACGAATGTCAGCTCATACAATTTTTGTTCAAACGCTTCAATGCATTTGGGGGATCTTGCCATTGTTTTTGCGGGAGGAGCTTGAATACATTTGTGAAGGTATGACTCTAAAAAGTTCATAATTAAGACTGGAAATTTCAAAAAACGCACATATAACACTGCAATCCTTGCATAATCAAAACTCCACGTTTGCCATCACATTTTTCTCCGATGGTTTCGATCACGCAGGTCGAGACGGTTAGCTTTGGACTTAACGAAATTCTGGAGCGGTGATTCTACTAACTTGCACTCGTTCGAGTCGTTTTTGCTATTTACTAGATAGCTGCACAATTCGTTGGCTGGCTTTCCTATCGACGATGAGCATTCGAATAATTTGGCGTCTATAAATTTTTGTCTAAAAACGGTTGTTAACTTACAGCGCACATTCAATTGTGTTCCGCTGCATGCCAGCCTGTGAATCCGACGAAAACCATCAGCAACAAGATGCAAAATCTCGTAATTGACGGCCAACTGCCGGACAACTTCCGATTGGGTCAGATGGATGCTTTGATTCTTCAGGTTCGCCAGCTTCTCAGCGATATTTTCGAGCCCGAAAGCAGGCTGCTGGGATTTGTGTAGATAACTAAAATTTGGCCATGACATGGGCGATTATCACTGATGTCTTACTCGCAAGTCTCATTGCCCAAGGCCTCTATCAAATCTGCGTGCGATTCCTAGAAAAAAAACGTAATAAATGATGCTGTATTCTCAATCAAACCGGGAACCTGAAATCGAGCTCGATTTTTCCGGGCTTTGCTGATGTCGCTGGGTTGGATTCGTCAGCGAATAAGGGGGTAGAAAAAAATATGGCCGGCATCAGCCAGCACAATATATTCATTTTGCAAATCAACAGTAGAATCGAAAGTCATAAATCATCATTGGCAAAAGTTTTATTGCGATTTTTGGAAGAAAATTTCTTTCTGTGGCGAAAACAATCAATCCCGACTCGAGCCGCCGAGAGACGCGAGTCCCGATGTACTTGGAATTAATGCAGAGTTGTATCGGGCCTTTTCTCTGTAGCTTGCAGAATTGCGGAAGCTTTGTTGCTCGTTCATGCCGATCTATGTTTGATAACATTACTTTATTGCCCGCCACAACTTTCTCAGGCGGCAAAAAGATCCACAGTCCCTTCAGGAGCGTTCAGGAACAGCAGCTCATAGGCGGCATCGAGCACTTCCGACATGCACGGCCAATCCATGCTGCCGACAGAAGGTTCGGCCGTCAACCCCTGGACCTGGAATGACTTTTGAGTCAAGAACAACACCAAAAGCAGGCAAATTATTAAGACTAGCAAGCCACGCACCGATACCAAAAACAGTCGGGTCGTATCAAAGATTGCGCTCCTTCCCCCGCATATCTTGGCGATGTTTGTGAATAGGCAGTTTGTGTAGGATACGCTGGTTCTAAATCATCGGGGTGCCGTAATGACACAAAAAACACTCACTTGCAATCCGTTGCTTGACCCTTAGTTCCTCCCGACATATTGAAGCCGGTTGCATTTCGGCATTGTTTATCAATAAATTCTCGGCCGGCCATTGCGCATGCCATTACGCGTGTGTCTAAACACGGAAGTTGAAGTACTTCAACTAGATGAGCAAAGCATGACTAGAGAAGTTTTTTTGCTCAAAACAAATCTTACCCATTCCTTTAAAGTGCACGTTCAGGGAGGGGCCGTGTACTCGTCGCAACGTGTACACCCTATGGTCGTAGGGACCGCGCGCACTGCCTGCCGGTGCTGTGACAGGCCATTCCCCTCCTTTGCGGCGTGGGGCGCCCCTCACCCCCTCGCCAGGTTGTACATACCTGTGGCTGACTGGTATCCATCCGCGCCTCCCGAGCAGGCGGCCCGGGTTCGACCCCCGCCCGCGGCAAAAATCTTTGCTTTTTTCCAAAAAAACGTCTCTGAGCGTGCCCTTTAAAGCCAAAACTTACATCTGTGATTAAAGACAGTCCCGTCGCACGCCAATTTCTGCTTTTTCGAATACAGCTCCTTCTGAGCCTCGACTGTTTCGACAATTTTTCGCAGCCGGCGCATATCGGCCAGTTGCTCTCGCGGATCGGCGGTTTGATTTTGAATTGCCTCCAACCCTCGCGGGATCATCGCCTTACGCTTGTCATACATATCTGTATGTCGAGGGAAAACTGACGCTTGGCTAGAAAATCTCTTCAACTCGGCCGTCACCTCTAACTTACGAGCATACTATTGCTTCAATGACTTCGTACGAATCATCTGTCACGGGGGATTTGAACTAGAATTTAGAGGTTATAAAATTGGAGCCTTGGAGCCAATTGACATTAAAATGCTTCCTATATATGTGGAATCTTTCAAAATCTCGCATTATCATAATCTCGCATTATCATAATCTCGCATTTTCATAATCTCGCATTTTCATAATCTCGCATTTTCATAATCTCGCATTTTCATAATCTCGCATTTTCATAATCTCGCATTTTCATAATCTCGCATTTTCATAATCTCGCATTTTCATAATCTCGCATTTTCATAATCTCGCATTTTCATAATCTGCATTTCTAATCTCGCATTTTCATAATCTCGCATTTTCATAATCTCGCATTTTCATAATCTCGCATTTCATAATCTCGCATTTTCATAATCTCGCATTATCATAATCTCGCATTTTCATAATCTCGCATTTTCATAATCTCGCATTTTCATAATCTCGCATTTTCATAATCTCGCATTTTCATAATCTCGCATTTTCAAAATCTCGCATTTTCAGGATCTAGCAATTTCAGTCTCGCAACTTTTCCAAGGGCTTTCCAAGGGTTCCAAGAATTCGTTGAATGATGATTGATCACAGAATAAGCGGAACACAACAAATTAATCGAATGTCTGGGCCACTAATTTAAGGGATTCGAGATGGTCAGATGCGTCGTACGCCTCGTCGAGGCCACGCTGGGCTTGGTAATCGATGGTAATGGGTGTCGGCTTCATGCCCTGTTGCTGCGCCTCGTATAGACGATTGTCGTGCGTTCCTGGAAACCGCCCAACGTTTCCAGAAACTTCCAAATGCCAAGGCTCTGTTAGTTGTACTTAGTAGAAATGCAGCTAGTCTATGGGAATTGCGAAATTCTAAAAATGCGAGATTCTAAAAATGCGAGATTCTGAAAATGCGAGATTCTGAAAATGCGAGATTATGAAAATGCGAGATTATGATAATGCGAGATTATGAAAATGCGAGATTATGATAATGCGAGATTATGAAAATGCGAGATTATGATAATGCGAGATTCTGAAAATGCGAGATTATGAAAATGCGAGATTATGATAATGCGAGATTATGAAAATGCGAGATTCTGAAAATGCGAGATTATGAAAATGCGAGATTATGATAATGCGAGATTATGAAAATGCGAGATTATGAAAATGCGAGATTATGAAAATGCGAGATTCTGATACCAAATCAGTTTACATACCGGACGCCGAATCTCGATTGAAATCGCCACATTAACGAGGAGAACCAGAAATAAGCGCGGTGCCTTCCCCATTTCTGACGTTGGATGGAATGAAAAAAAAGTCGATTGGGAAGGGGAGGTTTGAAAAATTTGCAGACTCAACAATGATTGGACGTCAATTTTGTCTCTTCGGGGCAAGGTTTATTTTATTATTCTGCCTACCAAGCTGCTTGTCACTCTTAAAACATCACGCCCGAATAAGAAGCTATCTGATTATTGTAGCAGAAGCATTGTGAAAGATAATAAAGTATCTAACTATTTCAATAGATCCTTAAATCGTAAAAATCGGAGACGACTGCGGACCGCTTGAAGGGGTGCTTTTTTGGACACCCCCGTAGAAGCTCCGGGAATAAAAGGGTGTGGCTGATGCGTATCCAAATTAGCAGCTCCGTCAGTAAATGGTTGGTTGTCCAATCGCCCTGGATTGAGTGCAACTAGATGAAAATAGATTCTGCGTCGAGGTAGTGTTGTTTTATTGACACCCTGTAGACTTACATCTTTCATCCAACATTTTCCCATTACACGCAAAACGTTGCAGTTTTTTTGTGCAGTTCATCGAGCTTCTGCACCCACTCCAGCCGCCCTGACAAAAACCGGGCCGCATCCGCTCTCTGCTCCGGATCCGTGCGGATTGTATCGAATGCCTCCTCCGATGGTCGCGTAGGTGTTGTCATGCCACTGCGAGGAGGGCTCTCTGAAAAAAAATACAAAAAATAAAATTAAGGGAGCAAATCGAGTCGCCGGGATTTTTCAATTGAAGTTCGAATGCTACGATACGCGCAAACTGCGCGCTCCATGTCCTTCACGGCCCAAACAACGCTTTCATTACACGTGGAAGCATTTCCCTGGCGTAACGACGATACAGTCTTTGTGAAAAACACTACCGTATCCTCGACATGTATCGCCACTACGACATACGATAAGACAACGAAGGGGAAGCTGGCTCTCATCGCCATCTCCGCCGGTAAAGAAATGTACACGAATTCTCCGGGGCGGGAAAATTCACAAATCTTGCAGGCACAACAGTGATTGGTGCCTTTCCATTTCGAATTTTTGTGTGTCAAATTGCGCAATTATAAAAGTTTGTGATAAGTGTTAAAAGTCGAGCCTTCTGGAACGCAAAAAATCCAAATTTAGAAACAATTTCGGCAGAAAATTAGGCTTGGGAAATTTGAAAATTAGAAAAATTAGGAATTAGAAAATTAGACCCAACCTTGTGCATGGCAACCTTTTATTTAAACACAAAAATAACAGCAAACAGAGCCACAATCAAAGCCCAAAAATATCTTCTGTCCCTTTAGGGGCCTTCATAAAAATCAGCTTGTACATCGCGGCCACCGTTTCAGCGCCGCAGTGGCTGGGCTGCCGCTTATCCCTCGTGACCGCAACCATGGACTGCTGTGCCTAAAATAAATGTACGTGATTTTGAAGCAGTGTCCAATGAGAAACTTACCTCAATCAACGTCAATCTGGCCATGTCAAATTCCGTATGACGTCCGCCGCAAATCTCGGCAAGTTTGGCTCCTATACAGCTCAAATGCGCGGCATATGTCCTGAATCCGATGTAGAAACTACGCATATAGCGTGTAACTTGACCGTCGTCTATCCGACTGGATTCAGACTTTACTAGTATTGGAGGCCTTTAACTACAAGCGGCCGCGTTTTCAAGGCAGAATCAATAAGCACAAAAACGGCCCAGCTAAATACTGATTTTCCGGAAATTTCCTTACACATATTTTAGGATTTTCTTAGAAATGGAAAAAACAGCTTTGGAAAAGATTGCAAACATTTGGGGCACGGTAAGATGTTGGCAAAGGTCTCGACTTTTATACAAATTTTGTAAATCACAAAACCCGGTGCGCAGAATCCTTCCCACACTTCATTTTGCGAAACATTTAGGGATAGAAATCCGTGAAAACAATTTAATTTGGCCAGAACTTTTTCCCTTGACAAAATTTTGCTTCAAAAAAAAAAGCTGAACATAATTGCTAAGAGTTCACAACGCTGGCACAAATTTGAAGTTGTTCGGTTAGAAGATGATCAAATGCTAGTGATATTCAGGCAGAACTGGTGGCTCAGAATTCTATACTACAACATCGTCATTGATCAACAACTCACGTGCACCGTTGCACGCCGTACGGCGCCTCCAGCGATTCAGACTTGTATCTTCCGACTTCTGTTTCGCACTTATGGCGGCACCGTTCACCGTGCATCACTTCACAGGTAAATGCGTGCAAGACTGAAAACGAACGAACTTTCGGTTAGCCGGCCAAGGGTTGTCTAAATCCGAATTTCCTGGCTCTGAACTCACATCGTTCATTAAGCACCTTCCCATCACACGCAAAGCGTTGCTGCCTTCTGTGCAGCGCATCGAGTTCCTCCATCCATTTCACATACTCGATCAGAAATTCGGCCACATCTTCTCTTTGCTCCGGGATCGCCTCGTTCTGCATGCACCGTAGGGTTCGTCCAATGTCATAGTGGGTGTCGTTGTGCCATTTCGAGAAGGGAGCTCTGCAAAAACCCTATCTTATTTTTGCCAATGGCTTCTTGCATGCGCTTTTTGTATTAGCCTGAACAGGGAATTTTTTTATGTTTAGCGACAACTGGCTACATCAAATAGTAATAAAATATATTATATTTTTACAACATCTTTGGTAGCTTATCATTGCGACTTTACAAAAACTCCCTGATAACTTCTAGAAAAGCTTAACCATCTGGAGCAATTTCGCCACGTATCCTACATTTAGATTTTTTAGTTTATGCTGCATCTTTTGATTTTGAAGACGTTTAAGAAATGCCATCAAAACGGGCTTACTCGGGAAATGCTCAGAACGGAGCGAAACACTACAGGGTGAGGCATATATATCGCTACACATTCCGGGTCCGTCAAAAAAGTATTAAAGCGAGCCGGGCTTCAATATTTCGCTGGGATATAGCTACATGTGTCCTTTCGACACTCTTAAAATCTTATAACGCAACAACCCTATAAACACTTGTTCTAAAGTAAAAACTGGGCGTCTTTAGGTGGGTCTGGCACGGAACCCCTTGGCGGTCGATTTCGGCATGGTTCGGAAACATTGATTTGGACCCGAATGACCCCTAAAAACTTTTGCACTACTTAGAAATTGTCTAAAAAGACAATGAGACCAACTTATTTCTTTTCATTCGGCAGCAAGTTAAAACTTTGTCTCAACTGGTTGCAAAAATCATAGTAAAAAACATAAAAATATATTTTTTGACTTGTACTCGTTCAATTTCCTGGTTTTATCATTGGGAATTGCTCGTACCAGATGCCTAGAATTCAAAAAATTGCTCGAATCGAAATATTCAGGTGGCTTAGATTTTCTGAATAATTTTTAGTGGCCAACAAAAGGGTGGGGTGGGGTGTGTCATCACTCCTTTTTTGAATGTAGTAAAATTCCCTCGCTAGTTTCCGACTAAAAACCTATTGGAAAAAATAAATAAGATCCGACTGAACCAGAATACAAAAAAACTGAACCAGAGTTACGCATATACGGGGTTCTAGGAGCAGCGTGCCAACACACCACTTTTTCGAGAAAAGCGCTGAACTTCCCTGTAAGCTAAACCCAAATCGAAACAATTTTCAACCATTTACATTTATTTCCTGCATAAAGAAACGCTAGTTCTTCGATGGGAAACATCGATTACCCCGAAAATATAATCAGTTTTCCGCTGGCAGACAAATTTGTGCGTGCTAGAGGTGTAGCGATATATATGCCTCACCCTGTATTCCTACCCGCATACTTCCTGCTCAGCGCGCCTGACGGCCTGCTCAACGACTTCAGCAGACGGAGACAGAAAGTCCTGGTGTGTACAGGTCCAGGTTTGCGAGAAAAACCCTACCGTATCATTGTAATGTATGGCTACGACTGCATGGCATAGGAAAACCAGGGGCAGCCCGATGCGCGTCGCCATTTCCCCTTGTGGAGAAATTTGTGAGAGTTCAGGCGGGAGGGGGGAGGCGAGATTTTTTAGACACAACAAATGGTGGCTCATTTTCATGAAAAAAATTGGGACGAAAAAGTCCACAGTAATTGAATAGCCGACCCGTCAATTCAAATTTTTTGGAAACATAAGTTTTGGTAAAAACATTATTTTATTTCGACATAATCGCATGAGATTTAGGAATCAAGCCGCAAAAATGTCCACGACGTCATCAGGAGCATTCAGGAAAATCGCCTCATAGACGGCATCCATGGTTTCGTTGTAGCACGGTGGGGTGTAGGACTGCTCCCCATGAAGCTGAATCCGACGCGGTTTGTCCTGAAACGGCTGTTGTTACAAAACACGGTAAATTAAAAAATATTTGAGTAATGAGAAGGTACTCATTTTTAGGGGGTAAAGTCACTACCCCGAAAAGTCACTACCCCGAAAGTCACTACCCCGGAAAGTCACTACCCCGAAAAGTCATTACCCCGAAATAATTTGCATGATTTTCATAGGAAAACCGCATGAAAACTGGATTTTTCCGGGAAAAACAATGCTATCATTTTTCGGGGTAAACGATTTCGGGGTAGTGACTTTTCGGGGTAATGACTTTTCGGGGTAGTGACTTTTCGGGGTAGTGACCGGACGCCCATTTTTAGGAACGGATGGCCTTTTTGCGATGCCGCATCGGTAGCCTTTTTCCTTTATATATGGCACCATGTATACTTTGAACGAATAACATACCAGCAATACTTCAAATCGAACAAGATCAAAGATTGCACGTTTGCCACCGCATTTATCGCCGAATAAGGCCAGTTCGCATTTTCGCATCGGGATCTCAGGGCAATCCGGGGATCCGTGGATTATGTGGCCGGCTTCCTTTTGGCAGGTGTCGCCAATCGTCCGAGTGTTCCTGCTGACGCATGCAAATAGATCGGCAACTGTAAATTTTTTCAAGCTAGGGGGAGGTTCGAGAAGAGGTTCTGGATTGTTAGCGGGGAGGACCACTTTTTGTTTTTTCCCATAACATATGTGATAACATATAATGTATTTTTAGAGTATTTTAGTAGTTGTAATTGCTAGAAAGTTACAAGTTTTTGAAAGTTTGAAAATGTCGGTCGTTTCCATGCCTTTTTAGGAACCATGTCAAATTTTTTCGATAATTTTATAATTTTTCGACGACCTTTATACCTGAATACTGTGCAAAATACCAGAAAACGCATTATATTTCCGAAGCCGTACAGAATCACTGAGAAAAATCTAGTTTCTCCCGCGAAAAATCCACTCCGTTAACAGCCCAGAAGCTGTCGTGTAAGGTAAGCCGTGGACCTACAATACTGCTTCAAAACGGTTCCGTTGCAGATCAGGGCTTGCATTTTCTGATGCAACAACTCCATTTCTGCCCTGACTTCCAGCAGATTGGCGAGCCCTCGCGTCTTCTCGGCTCGCACTTCCGGATCGGTTTCGTTTCGATAGCGCTGCAAAGCGGTCTGGAGTGAGAAATGCTCGTCATATGGTCGAAAAATCCATTTTGGGACGGTCATCCTGAAAAGTTTTAATTTTTTTTAAGAAAGTAGGCAAGAAGAGCGCTGTAGAAGACTTATTGCTATCCTCATTTAAAGGAGCTGCGAAATCTGGTCCACGTCTCTCTCTCTCTCTCTCTCTCTCTCTCTCTCTCTCTCTTCAATCCTCATCGAATTTTGATCATTCTAGATTTTTTAATTCTGAAAATCGATCAGAGAATTACTGAGATCGAGCGATTGGATGTTTTACAAAGCATTACTACATGTCATCGCCCCCCACTCGAAATTTCGTTTTCGCCCGGAGAACATTTCGGTTTTACTCAAATGTTTTACGTTTTTACGCAATGAAATTATTTTTCTGGTATCCCCGCGCACACGAATTTTGACTTCCGAGCCCCTTTAATGTCGATACCCGTAAATAAAAAAAATTGATTCATTATAGTCAGCTTACCGACAAATCGCTGCCGGCTTTTCTGAGTCAACATCCGGTTGCGCAGAGGACTAAAATGATTTGACGTGCGCAACAGTGAGCGATGGATCGTTGCTGAACTTACCGAAGATCCGAACGGTAGTGCGTGTACACCATAAAAGAAACAGATCAGGATAACGACCGCCACTTGCCCCATTTTGCAAAGTGAAAAAGACGGCGGAAAACTGAAATCGAAATCGCTCGGCGAATTCATAGACAAAATAAAGACTGTCTTCTTCAATTTATGCGCTGTGCTTTGTCTGATTTTGCGGTTTTCCTTTAATCACAACATTTATTCCGGTGCCGAAATCGCTCATTGCCAAATGTTGACCTCATCGTAGGGCCCATACTGGTAAAGAAGGCTGTACAGTAGGTGGCTCAACCTCCGATAACACGGGCGCTTCTCCATGTTTTCGGGTGTGTTGGGGATCAGCGCGTCGGCGATACGGTTCTGAAATGGGGTTCAAGAAGTCTGGAACGTTCCCTTACCCAGATAAGCGTCAGTCTGGCATTCGCAAAGATTTCATACCCGCCGCCACAGGCCGAGCCGGTTTTCATCATCACGCAGACGTCCACCTCGGGGTCGAAGCTAGAATAAAACTTAGTTTCTCAATTTTCTAAAAACCGGCCACGTTTTATCATCCATAGTTTTATAAAACGCGCTCTCGGAATGACGTTCGGAGCACGTCAGTGCACTTATGAACGATTCTCCAACCATGTTCTAGCTTTTCTGCGTCCACTTATCCGGTGTCGTGGGAGATCGTTTCCAAGGGCGCGTTTAAAATACCACCTGATAGGCTTTGATTTTAAAAAATTGGGATTGAATTGCTTCCCTAAACCCTGGCAACCGATTACCCGCAGTTCTCCCATTTCTCGTGGTCTCGATTCGGTTGCTGACAGAGTTCGGTGGCAGCGCTGAGATGTTGCAGTTGGCATTCATGCGAACGGAGAACTAAAGGAATATAGGACTATTGGAAATATTCCCAATCTATTCAAGTTATTGTCAAGATAACGGCAATCACATTATCGAAATTTCTCAGAATTTCAGGATGTCAACACTTTCATAGACAAATCCTTGAAAAAAGAGCCTAAAAGCTCATTCCAAGGCATTTCGAGATGGAAAAGTTATTTCTTTATGGAATTACGGCACTATAATTTTTGTCATGATAAATTTCGCCATTGCAAACTTCGATTATGCTACAGATATCTACGAACAGATTTGGCTACCCTCTATCTACCCACCGCTTGCCTTCATTTCGTCACCATCGCACATGATTTTATGGAGCCTGCGGACCCCGTCGTGAAGCTGATTGGCATCTGAGATCCGTGCTCTCAGTTTTGGCATCCGCTCATCGATTTCTTGGATGCTGGCTTGATGGAGAAACTCTATCTCTTCCTTGATGCTCTCTGGGCTCCATCCAATTTTTAGTGCGGAATTTAGGCCCCTAAATCTTACGTCAGAAAAAGCAAGCTTCATTACCGGCAGAAGCTCTTCTTGAATCCGTTTGGGAGCATTTCCGTGTCATTACTCTATAGCATAGATTATTTTATTAAAATTAAATCAACCTCGGCAGACTTTAACCAGCGCTGCGGGAAATTTTTCTCCCATCGCTCTTGAGCAGCTACCGATGGAGCCAAGAGCACGATTAGCGATAGATAGGAAAATACGGCCATTTTTCGTGTGCTTGAGAAAAACGGCTAGGTCCGTTATATATAAGCCAAGATTTTAACCAAAACTGTGATTCATTTTTCATCAAGAAATTTAATTTCACGAATCAAGGCAGTCCCGAAAGTCCCGAAAGCTTTGACTGGGCGATTCATTTCAAACAAAACCTCTTCTCTGTTTTTTCTTTGCCAATTTCGGGCTGCTGTCAATTTCAAATGTTGTTATTACCAAATTCGCGACAATACCTTTATACAGCCAGAACACGGCAATTTTCGTGGCGATGGGCGCAGCATGGCCTCGGCACCATATTTTGACTGGGCACTGGTGAATCGGCGATTCGCAACAAGAGTCTATTTGGTTTCATGGCAAATTGTAATGGCAAAAACGATACAACTAGGAAAAGGCTTCTAGAAGTCCAGCTTTTATTTATTTTCAAAAGGTTTATCCTGTTTGGTGGGGAGGTGATTTAGCGCGGGGAAATCTAGTTCTATTTTTTGCATTATTTTTGTTAATAATGCATAGAGATTTATCGGGTTTCCGTCGTTTAAAAACCTACGCGCGATAAAACCTATGAAAACATCTTGAGATTTTTGAAACTTTAGCGTTTTTGGGTTTTTTTTGATCAAACAATCAGATTTTTGTAAATTTTGGAATACATCTAAAACATAAAAAATTTGTGAAATGCTATCCAAATGTTTTCGTAAGGCAGTATCGTATTGCCGGGAAAAATGGCTTCCCTACGCTGGATACCCCCTCCCCTATAAGCGAGAAGCACGTTCAAACAAGCATTAATGATCTGCTGCTGAAATCATTTATTCATTAACTTTTATTAAATCCGATTACATCATCCACGGGTTAGAAGCCAGAATCGCACGGCGGAACTGGTGCGGGATGGGGATAAGGCGATGGCTGGGGGACCGGGTCTGGGAAATTCGGGGTTGGGGTGTTGGTTTCCGGCGTGGTCGGCCACTCATACATCGGGGGCGTGGGCTGGGGCTCGATCTCGATGTTGTAGAGGCTCAGGAGCCCTGCGACCAAACCCCTATCGCATGCCTTTGCGCTTTGGACGTTGCTGAGTGATTCGTGGATCGACGTCTAAAGTTTTTTTCTAGATGGCAATAATTTCCCGATAAATTAAGACGAAGCCTTTGACTAACCGCATAAATCGCGATTCGGGCAAGGCTACGCTGGGCTCCGGCGGGATCCGTGCAATTTTTCGTGAAGTGCGCAAAGTAGCTTTGATAAACGTAGGGGGCTACTCTGAAAATGGCTGATTTGTAGCGTTCTCTTTCGTAGAATACCTGCAATCCACGGGATCCAAGAACTCGGCTACCACATCGTTAACCTCAAAGCATGAAGCCAATTCGGAATCTATAAGTAGCGCCCGGAAGTGAACCCGCGAGTGCGAATATTACATTCTGGTTTCGGCTGCAGCCCGAGACACAGGTCCCCTTTCGCCGCGGCCATCCCTGGAAGGCCGCCGTCAGACTGGTACCTAATTTTACGTATGGGTTAGAGAAAAGAGCTCATAGTTACCCGCAGATTTGGAACACGACACGAACCATACGATGTGCCTGAAATCATGGGTATTATGCAGGGTTGGTCACGAAAAGAGCGGGAGCTGGGAGCCGGAGCTGATTTGCGAGCCCCGCTCAAGAGCGGGAGCGGGAGGTGAAAATTTTCAGCTCCCGCTCAGCTCCGGCCCTCTAGCCGGCTCTTTTGGAAAGAGCTAGAGCCGAACCCCGCTCAACTCAAACCGGATCCTGCAAATCAGATATCTATGCAAATAAGGCAATGCAAGGCCAAAAATACTCAATTTTTTTGGAATTTTGGGAGATTTGCATAAAGAACTAATTTTCCGCATCCGGTGGAGTAGAGCAGGGTTCGGCTCCCGCTCTTTCCAAAAGAGCCGGCTCAGTGAGCTGAGCGGGAGCTGAAAATTTCAGCCCCGCTCGGCCCTGCTCCCGCCAGCCCGGCTCAGAGCCGGCTCGCAGAATGACCAACCCTGGTATTATGCTCTAAAACCTGCTTAATCATTATTTTTAACCCACCAAAAACTAGAATTATATTACCCACCGTGAACGGCATCGTCGGTGGTTCTACTGGCACTTCCGGCGGCGGCGTGATCACCGGCGGCCATTTAGGCTGTCGAGCTAAAAATTGCGATATTTTGTGATAAAAGAACTAACCGACGCTCGCTCCAATGAACATCACCAGCATTAAGAAACCCTTCATCTTCCTAAAAGGTACGCTAAATTAAAGTAGACCTTAACAGCTAAAACCATAAGAAAGAAAATGTTAGATTAACCTGAACGACTCAGCTTATATACAAACGGGTATATCTTCAGCCGGACGTTTTCAATAACCCAGGAGGTTTAATCATCATTTGTCACTACCTTTCAGTTATAGAAGTTGTACACGGCTAATTCTATAAATTCAATAGAAGTGAATCGGGCTATTATAGAATGGGTCGCCACTTTGAAAACATCCGAAAAAAATTGCAAAAAAGCATTCGCTACACTCAAATTCGTGTGCATGAAATTTTTTTCTCAAATTTTTTCCGAAGAATTGATTCACCGATGAAAAACCAGCGCCGCAGGCAAAAAATTTTCAAAAAATAGGCTTCATATAACTAAAAACTGTTTGAAAAACACTAATAAACAGCGCCGCAGGCAGAAAAATTCTTGTAACTAAAAAACATAAGGGTATGAATTTATTTATTTTTGAATGAATTATGAATTTTTCGGATCGCGACCGATTTCGGAGGACTTTTTAGATTGCCTAGTTCGCGGCCTGGCTGCGTAATTTGGTCCCGGCAAATGAAATGACACCCGGCGCGCATAACTTTCAGAAAACGGGAAGTATAAGACTTGGATTAACGACCAAGCGGCGAGTTGTATGAATAGTTTGCGCAGGTGGATTTTTAATGGACTTGGCCAGCGTAGAAAACCCCTGAAAAATTGTCGCTGGCTTACTTCGTGTTTTTGGTAGTGGTAAAGTCAATTAATAACCGTGGTGTACCGTAAAATATCGTCATTTTCATCGAAAAAATAAAACATCAAGAATAAAGGAAATGCAAAAAAAAAATTTCAGTTCCGAACTTTTGTGGAGGGTGTCCCAAAAAACACCCCCCTTCTTAACGTACGTAGAAGTATTGGATCGGAATCATCGTTACACCATTCGAAAGCCCTTCAAATGGCCAGTTTGCAACAATCTTCAAAACTTACCTCTACTTCTAAAAAAACAAAACTTATTATTTAAACACGCTATTTTATTAGTCATTTTAGACAACTGTGCGCTTTTTCGCGGTTGCATCCGAGCTAATTTGCCCAAAATTCTCCATACAAAATGACCGAAAGTGGCCGTTAATTAGATGCAGAGGTCGTTCCTTAATGCTTTTAAATTGATTTTAATTCGCCGGGTTTAAATAAAAACAGGGGTTTGAAGATGGTTAAAAATTGACCGTTCCCAGGGCTTTCGAATGGTGTAACTACCATTCCGATCCGATACTTCTGCGTCGAGTTAGAGGGCCGAATTTCGGGCTAATTATTGACATGGAGGTGGATAAACCCTTTTGTCAAAAATGCCTTTTTTTGCTTTGCGTGATTCCTTCATTTAAGAATTTTATAAGCAAAAAACTGAAAAACTCTTTATATGTTGTCGGAAAACCGTGCCTGCGGAAGTAAATTTTGACGGAACAATGATGATACAACTTTTGGAAGCAAGTCGATTTGGCTTCATCGGCGTTTTCGTACGCAATCATTGAACGATTTTTTAAAGCAATGATGATATGCTGCTGAAAACATTTATTCTGGTTCATTCCCCAAACTGTTTAGAATCCAGAATCGCACGGCGGGACCGGGACCGGGTATGGATAAGGCGATGAATTGGGGATCGGATCCGGGAAATTGGGGGTCGGGGTGTCGGTGTCGCGCGTAGTCGGCCATTCAGGCTCCGGGGTCGTGGCCTGGGGTTCGGTGTCAATTTTGTAGAGGTGTTGGAGAACGGTAGCCAGAAATTGGTCGCATGCCTTCACATATGGCTCCGGTCGGACGGTTGATCCAAGAGTCGCCTGAATTGGTTTTTGATGGGGGTGAGAGAGAGAGAGAGAGAGAGAGAGAGAGAGAGAGAGAGAGAGAGGGAGAGAGCGGGAGAGAGAGTGAGAGAGAGCGGAAGAGAGAGTGTAAGAGAGAGCGGGAGAGAGAGAGAGTGAGTGAGGAGAGAGCGACAGAGAGAGAGAATGAGAGAGAGAGAGAGCGAGAGAGCGGGAGAGCGACAAACGGTCCCTAGGTATCTACGCCACCCTAGAACAAGCACTTCAAACCCGGATGACTCGCGATCGTATTAACTTACCCAGACGATGGCGGCTCGGGCTACATTACGCGCGGCTCCGACGGGATCCGAGCAATTTTTCGTGAAGTAATCGAAGTAGCTTTTGTAGACGTACGGCGCGGCCCTGAAAATGGGCGTATTTTCAATATCAGGAAATTCAGAATGTCGGAGTTTCGGGATGTCAAAAGGGCAGAATCTCGAAATAGGATAAGTCGAAATTCTGCGTAAGATAATCGTGGATATTTGTGGATTTCGACTCGATATATTGAAATTTAGAAAGCCCAAGATTTCAATATTAAAGTTAAATTACCTGCATTTAACGGGATTCAAAGCAGCAGCCACCAAATTGTTCTTCTCGAAGCACAAGGAAAGCTGGGAGTCTGTAAAAACGCGTCTATCAATCCAGCATTATCAACTACATTCGGTTTTGAGGGCAGCACCGTCACACAGCTCCTGTTTTGCCGCCGCATAAGCTTCCGGATGAGCATCGCCTCCATCACTGATAAAGGGAAGGATAAGCTTAGCCATGAGTTAAATTACCGGCAAACCAAATTCACAGCGATCTCGAGGGTTTTATCTGCCTAAAGTTTAATTTTGGCATCAGAAGAATTGAGGCTTAATGTCGTTATAAAGAGATTTTTCCACCTACCCAGAAAGGAAAAGTGCCGTCCAAGTATGACGATGCTGAAGGTGGCGAAAATTGGGCTAAATGGTGCTGGTTTCCACAACGTTGTTATTTCCGCGGCACTACCGATTCAAAATCCTTGCGCATCCTGACATTCAAAAAATAAACAAAAAAACTGACCGAAACCGACTCCAAGGAGCAGCACGAGGGTTGAGAGCGATTTCATCCTCCTAAGGCGGGAATGGGTAAGGATACAGTACGCTGCCAGGCCTGGGTTTTATACAAACCTCAGGCTTTTCAGCCTTGCTGCTTGAATACCCGAAAAGCCTAATCATCATTTGTCACCTTCTCTTGACTGATAGAAATTATATACGGCTAACTGTATGAATTCAATAGCCATGATTCAGTCCCTCCTATAAAATCGTCGCGCCAAATTCTGTGCGTACAATTGTAATTTGTGAGTGTACGTTTTGAAGCCCGTGAATTGAGATGCCGGATTTTTTACCAAATTCAAATCTCAAAAATCAGAACGCCGATGAATGCTAAAAAACGGATAAAAAACGAACGCGGATTTATCTTTTTGTGTTAAACATGATTTTACATAATTTTTCTCTCGAAAGATTCGTAGGGGTTCTACGACGTCCGAAATCTGTTGTCTCGTCAAAAACCTAAGGAATTTTTTACAAGTTTTCTATCTAATCACTCGCCTTCCACATCATCCATATCGATAGTCCTTAATAAAATACATAATTCAAATCGGGTCAATAATTGGGTAAAAGAAATTGCGATCGGGACGTAGATCCAAAATTCCAGGGAGGTAAGCAGGGATTTTGGAGAGTCTGGGAAAGCTGGCATGGGCTTTGTGACTAAACACAAGCTTGGTTCGGAAGTGGTGCTTTGGTTTCTAGATCATCTAACTGTTGTGGTTGTTTGCTTCCCTTTTTGAGAAGAGCTGCAAGAGTTGAGATGCAACTTTCGCACTCACTCCAAACTTGAGGGTCAGGCAACAAATGTTATATCAGGCGATCGTCTGGTAATTTATTCTGAATCAATCTAATCGCGTCGATAGACACCACACAAAAATTAATATCAGGAGATTGCGTAAAAGCAGCTCCCGGTTAGATGCCGCTCGGCGTCGTGGTCTTGGTCCTCGGTGTCGTGTTCTGAGGTTCAGGCCAAGTAGAGCGCTGTTGAGGCTCGACAATCCCATACAGCTTGGCGACGTCGTTGGCCAGCTTCTGATAGCAACTCTCCAACTCGGTGCCCCTGCGCCTAGCCGTCCAGTATTTTGCCTGGAAGATTAATGGTGGTGAGTCAAAATACAGGACGTTTCAGACCTGTATGTACAAGCCATGCCCTGCGGAAATACGGGCCTTTTCCGGGTAAGAACACATTCCGGCGACAGCATTGATATAAACGTTGTAATGCTGAATAGCGGCTCTGAAAACGAGCGTTAAATAGCGCCGCTTTATCTAACCTGCACGGCATCTGGACAAGCTGTTCCTCCATCGCACCTCCAAACAAACGTTCGCCATACAGGAAACAGTCCGTTATCAGCTCGACTAGAAGGTTTGGTAGAACTTACTTTTGTTTTTAAGCCCTACACTCTATCTTCAATTGTTTGCCGTCACAAAGACCGTTCTGTAGGATAGCCAGACTTTCGGTAGCGGCGGTATTGTTGAGACTAATTTCAAGGAAGAGGTCGGTACGCCTTCGGAATATTACCTGCACAGCGGTTCCGTAGTGAGAAACGCGAAGTGCGCCTAAAGCTTAGGATCATTTTGTGTTAACGCGTCATACTAGATGGCCATCCTTGATAAAATGTCCGCATACCAGGCCTTAAAAAGCCAGATACCTACGCGGCACCGCTGCTCCTATGCGCTACTAGACCTTCGATATTAGAAATTTGGTTTTATATTCACCCCATGAAAAACCTATTTTAAGCCGTCATGCGTCATAGTAACGCTTAATGGACGATAGTTCCGTACTCAACCCGTACCCTAGTTACTTTCTCGACGCGACGGTACGCACCACGTACCTACATAACTCGGAACAGGCCCAAACCTACATCAAATGGAAGAGTGACATCGTCGTGCGGGGCCAGCGTGCCGGTCGTGGGAGTTATAGGCGATGTTTGGGCTAAAACGCGATTTTCTGTGGGGTTGGGGCAACAACTGGGAATCTGCTATGGGTCGATGGTCGTTGAAAAGCTTAAAAAAAGTGTCTCCACGTGACGCCAATTTTATCTTACCGGAGCTCATAGGAAAAAGAAGTCCAAGGATGATAAACCACTTCATCCCGCCGAAACCTTTAAGCAGTGGTTTTACAGCAATAACGTATGGGGTGATGAAGCTGGAGACATGCTTATATACCATGCCCAAACTTACTAGCGTCGCGCCTCTATAGCCGCGAATATTTCTCGTTCTTTTGTCACCTCACCTAGCTATACAAATTATTTGGCGGCTAGGTCCGCTAGCAACTGTTGAATAGCCGGTGACTCAGCGATAGTCGGAACCTTTGGCTGGCGCGTAATAGAAACCGGGCATGCAATGGGTAATTTTAGGAAAGGTTTTAAGGTCGGCGCCTGGTAATACCGTATTTCCTCTAATATAGCCCCTCCAAAAAATTTTCGAAGTTGCCTTTAAGAAGTAAAAAATACTAACAACGTTCCAGTTACGCTTTAGACTGTGTTCCCGAGAGGTTGTGTGCAGTTTGAACTGCTAGAAAACGTTGTAGTTGCTCAAAATCACTAAAATATATCCTTTACTCTAATGCAACAACCCCCCTCATAGAGGTGACTGAAAATATAGACCCGGGGTTATCTTTGGGGAATTATGGTGTTTTAATAATTCGTCTTGTTAAAAGAACATCTGCCATTGAATTTATTTATTATCAAAAATTGCGATTTTTTAATGTCCAGAACCGCATGGCACCGGGTAGGGCTCTGGAGAATCCGGGGCAGTCGGATCTTCCTGGGGAACCGGCCAAATTGGGGTCGAAGTTCCGTCCTGTGGATCGACTTCAACGTTGAAGTAGTTGGGAACGCTGAATGCCAGCTCCACGTAGCACTGTCCCTCAGCCCCATTAGCAGCCAAAACCATGCGGACTAGCAACTGAAATTAATATAGGGTGTCGTGTCGTGGCCCGCCGCATACCTCAATCATAACTCCACGCGCCGCAACTTTCGCCGTTTTCGCTGACTCAGGGCAGCTACGTGCCGCAGTGTTGATGTAGTCACGATACAGAATCTCTGTATCACTAAAATATGCTTCTCATGCTGCTTTGCAGAGGCTTTACCTGCATGAAGCATTCGTGGCCAGCTCGGTATAGCGCTCGTTCAGTGGTTTCCCGCCCTCTTTGAAGCACTGGGTGATGTTCGTGTCTAAAAAGACACTGTTACAAGAATTTACACCAAAAAGGCTTCTAAAATGGTATAAAAAAAATCCTACAAAACTCGTTTGAAAGCAATCAAAAGAGTGGTCTTTTTATAAATCCCTTACATTCAGGTTTTGCAGATCGTCCGATGCAGAATTCCTTTTTCAGGGAGATGACATAGTTGCCCAGGGTATCCGACCAGCTAGAAAAATAATGTTGATAAATTTTGTGAGTAAATGTACCCGCAGATTTCGTCGGCGTGCAGGAAGAAAAAGTCGGGCTGAAAAGAAAAGTAAGGAAAGGGCGCCTTAAAGGGATGTCGACGGCATAATCAATCGGTTACGCGCTGGAAAGAACATGTCTCTGCGCCTCTCCCCAGGGCGCGCTCTCTGCCCTGTTGGCTACTTGCCAATTTGTTGATGGGAGGGATCGACACATGCCGTCGGCAGCCCTTTAATTGATGCATTAATCGTCGAACGATATCAGCCATGAATCGCTGCGCTTTTTCGGGGCGTTTACTGCATCTAACTGACCGTGAACAACGACTTTTCTTCATTCCGTTCTCCTGATGATGCAGTGACAATTGAGGCTAGAAACTCACATAAAAATCGCGTCAATTTTAACACCTACCGGAGCTCACTACGTCCAAAAAGGGTAACAGCGTCGCGAAAAACAGCATATTTCGCTTGGGGAGGTACCGAGGCGGCGGTGATATAAAAGCTACCCAGGGTTTATATACCTGCCCCATACCGATCAAGTTTTCCCCTTTATAGCATCCCGGGCTCGTCATCATTTGTCACCGATATTGCTCTATAGAAAACCCGCATCCAGATATACAGTGAAAAGACACTTTTCAGCCATAATTTTTTAATTGTATGTTTGATAGAAATGATTCAGTGCCTTCCTTTTTACATCTCGCCCCTTTTAGGATTCCGCATTGAAAACGCACGCACTTTGGAGCCGTCAACACTGTATCAATACATCTATCGTCTCTATCTCGCTCACTATCTCGCTTGCTCAATCTTTTACTCGCTCTCGCTGTCTGTCTCTGCCTCTCTCTCTCTCTCTCTCTCTCCGTCTCTCTGTCTCTCTGTCTCTCTGTATTTCCCTCTATGCGTACAGCAGATTCCTTAAATCCCGACACAAAAAAAATATCGTGTTATCGTTTTGGATCAACGCTTGGCCTGCATCCACTGTGATTCTGAAAAACGAAGGATGCTCTGGAAAGGAAAGGAAAGGTGATTCAGGAAAGGTGTGTTGCTGTAGATTCATCCATTTCCAATGACACGTTTATTCAAGTTTTTTTAACAAATTGGGCATCGTTATCGACGCTTATGGCTTGACGTCGTAGAGCCCAGCCAACTGACGGCCGAGCTGCACATAGCAATCACGGTGCAAAATATCGTCGGAGATGGCCCCGAGTCTACCATTAAATATTGCCATGACCATTCTTTTCAAAAAATGGCAAAGGAAAAGGGCCGCGAAGCGGTCTTTACCAGCTCTAGATCGATTTGCTATCAGCTTCTCGAAAATCAGAATCCCAGCAGTCGCGAAACGACTGTAACCACCTGGTACCAACAAAGATATTACGTTCGTAGTCATACAGGACTTGATTTAACCCAAAGAAAACTTAATTGCCACGGCATTTTGACAACCTGACAATTTTAACCCTGGTATTTCTCAAATTTAGGGCGATGATTTGACCTCCCCTCGATATACCCAGGAAAAAAATGGACTGACCGTTAGCTTTGGGTACCGGTACCTGACGGGCCACGACGTCCTCAAGTGGAAGCTCGACCTCCGCGTCCTGTGTGGGGCTGCCTTGGCACAAGATGATGTTCCGGTACTGAAATTCTAAGAATTCACTTTTACTATTCCGGCCTGCGGGCTAGACAGGGGGGTTGCAAAAAAAACCCTCGGCGTTTGGCCGTCTGCCATCCGATCGGCACCAAATTTTTACCAGTGTTGGGGACGCATAAAAACTATCGGCAGCCGAATTGTCTAAGCAAAATATTGTAAATAAAAAAAATCGCTAAAAACTAATTTTTGGGAAGGGCTGGTACCTATTTTTGGCCATGTTTTCGCACATCGCATGCCGATTTTGAATAATTTCCTAAAAATGGCAACTTTGGGACCGATTCTAAAAATTCGAGATTCTGATTTTACGAGATTTCTCTCTCCTCTCGGCATCGAATTTCATAACGATTTTAATGATACCCTTTAACGCCCAACCGCTCACCTTGTTTACCAGAGCAGCATTGATCCAGGCGGTGAAGACCGCATCGAGCCCAATCCCAGAGTTCAACAACATCCGGTACATCGGAGTGTCGAACTTCTCCAGCATGGTCTGCATCGTCAGCCACATGTACATTAGTGGCAGACCGCTCCACAGCGCCGCTGAAAAGGTGGACGACGTATGCAATGCGGCATGCAAATTACACGACGAAATGTCGGTGGGGTGTTTTTTTTGGATGCCCTGGATATCCTACACGAGAGCTGGATCTGTGCGATAGTTACCTTGTTGTGGGGGCTATAAATGGCCATCCATCTGGCCACCATCATAATAAGCTGCCAGGCCTTGATTTGCGTCGCGACTCTTCCTATCGTCAGTTGGTGCCACTTAGCGAGCGATTCGTGCATTACCGTGGGCACCCAAACCGGCAACCGGCATGGTATAATCGCAAAATCAGCGATCCAGTCCAGACCGCGATCACTAAAATCGTCACTTTATATTGTTGGCTCATGCAACGTACACGGACATAACTACAAGGCGTCCCAAAAAAACCAGCTTGGCATTTGGCCGTCTTTTATCCGATCCGGACCAAATTACTACCAGCAGTGGGTACCTTTATTATTACTATATACAGCCGAATTTTTAAGCAAACATTGTAAAAACCATTATACTGAAATTAAGGTTTATTTTGCCGCTTTCACTAGGATTTTGACGGATTCTGCTCATAGTTTTATGGGTCACCAACACTGGTACAAATTTGGTCCCGATCGGATTGAAGGCGGCCAAATACCGACAGGTTTTTTTGGGACACCCTATAAAGTTTGAATGGAAATAAACGCGGCGTCATGGATTATTGGTGTTCTGAAAATGCGCCCTTCGAAAATGCGGAATCTGATACCCGATATAAGATAATAATCGTAATAAGATAATAATAGAAGGTAATAATAGAGGATTATCTACTCGAAAAAACTGAGGTCAATAGCACGAAAAATACTCGTTAAAATGTGTGGAACAATTCTGCGGCAAAATTTGGGCTAGAATTAGTCCAGATGCCGTTTGTGAGGAGGCCAATCCCCGCTATCCATCTGGAGGCCAGAAAAAAATGGACAAATCGCCATGCCCCCGCCCTATCTGCCACATGTGGCCGTGGTCTTGCAGCAAATGAGGAATTGCCATCCGACGAGCTAGGCCACGACAGGCTTTGCTCATGGCATAAAAACCACTCTTTCTGGGGGCGGGGGGTAGGGGACAGAATTTTGGGCTGATTTTTGGCATGGAGGTTTAGAAACACATTCGCCAAAAACACATTGCTTTTTCCGAAATTCCTCCATTTAACAATTTTAAAAGCAAAATAGTAAAAATCCTTAACAAAATCGGCGACGAGCCCTGGTTTCCAGACCATAACTCGATGCCCATTTGGGATTTCGGGCTGGAATTTTGACCACTTATGTATTCGATGGTGGGGAGAACGGGGGTAAAATCATAACTTCTAAAAGTCATTACTTCTAAAAGCCATTACTTCTAAAAATCATTACTTCTAAAAACGTTACTTCTAAAATTTGGTACGCCGGATTACCAGTTTTTCGGCATATTTATGCCCAAAAATACGCTTAGAATCTAGAAGTAATGACTTTTAGAAGTAATGACTTTTAGAAGTTATGACTTTTAGAAGTAATGATTTTAGAAGTAATGATGGGTAGCCGGGAGAACGCGCATCTTATCAGCTCTACAAATTTTCAGCGGATTCAGGCTAAAGATTGGAATGCGCTTTGCCCTTCGCGTTAGCGATTTGGATCAAAGCTTTGTCTGCATCCACTGTGATTCTGAAAAACGAAGGATCCAGATACAAGACCAAATACCTATCTTCAGGAAAGGTGTGTTTGTGTCGATTCATCCAATTCCAATGACACGTTTATTCAAGAAATCCGTTTAACAAGTTGGACATCGTTAACGACGCTCGCTTCTTATGGCTCGACGTCGTAGAGCGACGCCAACTGACGCCCGAGCTCCACATAGCAAGCACGGTGCAAAATATCGTCGGAGACGGCGAGCACCGAGTCGACCTGAAATAAGTAATATATTGCCATGACCATCCTTTTCAAAAAATTCTCGATTACTCAAATCAAACCGTACCCAAGCCACCGTCCCGCGAAGCCCAGTTTTGAAGGCCTGTGGCCGATTAGGGCATCTCGACGCAGCATCAAAGAGCAATTCCGCATAGCCATCAACGATTTCGCTAAAGCGTGACTTTACGTGTATTGTGGCACTTTAACTAAATTCTGGTAACCTTACGAGCATTTGGTGCTTTCTTCCAAGTAGATGTAATTCGCGGAGAAGGTCTCGATGCCCATCATGAAGCAGGTGGCGATCTGCTTATCTGCAAGAACGTAGATTTCAATACAAACCTGGTATACAGAGCGTCCTAAAAACACTCATCCAGTAAAATTTTACCAGAGGTGTATTGGACCCTAAATAACCATAATCTTGACTTTCAGCCCCATAGCTACCATAATCTTCTAGAAACAACAAAAACAAACTTAATTATCCGTTTATCATCGGGTTTTTCGTTCAATCGACTTTTGCAATATTAAATGAAAATGATGCGGCAACCCGTCTTCTACCCTAGAAATTTCGTTCTTGAGAAAATTAGCTAAATAAACGCTTAGTTGCAGGTTTTTTACTAGTAATCAAACCCGATCTTTTTGGGTTCTGAGCCGGGTCGATGCAAAGTCAAAAAAGGTAGCCGGAAAAGCGCGTAAAAAGCAATCTTTTGTCAATAACTTGAACACTACCGTAGCGATCAGGCTATCACTCAGGATTGTGGCTATTTATGGTGCGATACATCCCTGTGCAAAGTATGGTGCCGGTTGGATGTAAGCCAATGCCGGAGAGATGCTTTTTTGGACACCCTGCATAAAAAAGTAACGTATAGACGTAGTACGATATATTCATCAAAAAGTGCCTGTCCCGTAAGCTATACTTACACTCTGGCTTGACATCTGTCCCGTTACAGTAGGCTTTCCGGAGCGTGGGGATATCAACGTCGGCTTGCCCCGTGAAACTTAAACGGCGACTTTTATAGCTTAATACAGACTCACTTGCAAACCTTTTCGGCCTTGATGAAGGCAAGTTGCGTCTAAATACGATTACCAGGGTTTTGATCGAGAAAACATACGTGCCACATGACCTCACCAAGGCGTGAGCCCGGCTCGAAGGTCACATAGGTATCCTGGGCTAAAATTGGGTTTAATTTATTTAATTAATTAAATTTATGCTTAATTTTTTCGGACCCTACCGTAGCAAGCTCCAATCAAGGCGAAAAGGAGCGCGACAGACCCCATCATTTTGACAGGAAACCGAATAGGTATCTATTAGAAGGCTGGAGGTGACTTTGTGTCAAAACGATGGCCCTTATAAAGATACCACAGTCTTTGAAATTGCCTCTTACAATAGCGCGTCGGCTTAATCACCTTTTTGTCAACACCACGGTTTTCAAAAGAGGCTTTTCGCTACAATTTTGTAAAGCCGAATAGGCAAAGGTTTCCTCGCAACACATTGGAACTTCCGGTGCCGATGTGAATAGTTATATCAGCAATGCTCATCGTTTGTCGTATCGTCGTGTTGAAATTTCAAATTTTTTAAAAAAACGTGTCATGTTTAAATGCTTAGAATCCAAACTCTCGCCATTTATTCATCAAATTCTATGAGCCAAAAAAATAGCAAAATTTCAGTCGATCGGTTTTCGAAGCGGGAGTAACGAATAACGCTAGTCAAAGGAGGTTAAATGCATGGCTCCAGTTGACGAAGCAGAAGATGGCGAAGATGACAAAGTAGATGACGCCTAAATTTTGTCTCTCTTATTCTCACTGGTGCACACTTTATCTCTCTCGCTCTCTCACACTTTCTTTTTCTCCCTCTCTCTAACTCTCTCTCTCACTTTACGCCGTCGCGATCTCTTAAAAACGATACCTGGTAGCCAGGCCTTGATATAGCCAGTTACAGAAATTTTGGATCGAGGAACTACTTTTTCTGGCCCTCCGTCTGCAACACCCTCCACCAGAAACTGATGCTCAGCCTGACAACGTTGGTATTTGCTCTCACTCGTCTCTGAAACTCACTTCCGTGGCTATTTGAGGGTCATCTCTACCCTGCCACGCCGCACAAATCAGCATCCAAATCAAGGCAACTCCAGTGAAGATATACGATGCGTTTAGCCAAGCATACACCACTGAAATCAATGCTCAATGGTTTGATTCCGAGCTTCACTTACGTCGCGCTCCCCTCGGAATCGATGACATCGCCAGGGAGCCCTGAAGATACCGAGCTGATTGCCTCAAACGATGCCCTTACCACCAAAACCGTTCCCAGGAGTGTTGTCGCGGCCAATGCTAGCCGGGTTCGCATTTCGGAGCTAAGACGTTTTCTAAACAATTTTATTACGGCTTACCAACGAAGAAATAATGTCAATCCGGCGACGGCGACGAACAGGAAGTTCGGGAGGTAGATTTGGGTGATTAGACGCCTGAAAAGCGGTGCTTGGCGTTTCCTGACCACTGAAAATAAGTGAAGATCATGGTCGTGTCAAAGAAAACGATTTAAAATCATTTTTTGAGGGGATTCGAAAGCTTGTGATGATTTGCCTAAGCATTTTCGAAATCCACTTTTTTGAAAATTAATTTTTACGAAAATCAAATTTTCTAAAAATCGCTGTTGTGAAACATAGAATTTCGAAGGATGCGTTGCTATTTCTTCCTTTTTGCGGGCATTTTCTATTGAATCCCAAACGCACATTTTCGAAATTTTCATTTTCAGACATACGGAAAAACTAATTTCGACAATTATTTTGCAGGAAGTAAGTTTTGAAATGCCGATAAGCGACTGCCTACCTACCATGTCGCCGAGCTTTCCCGTTGAAAGGTGAAGATGGCCCGAAGGCACGGGCATTTTTCGGAGCCGGTCCCCCGGCTGCAGGTCTCCGAGTCATACGATTCGAGCCGGAAATCCTGGATGGGGTTCTAAACCAATTTTGGGTAGCTTTTCATCCTTGAGCTTACCGCCGCGCCGGCCTTGGTTTTGATCGGGTTTATTTGGGCCCATTTGTAATCTGAATTTTTCGAGTTTTAATATGATCAGTATTACCAATATTCAACGCGCTCCACCCGTACGATCCCATATCGATGTGGCATTGATGCTGGTCCGTAGGGTAGTACTGAAGGATGAAGTTCAAAAAGTGTTAAAAATGCTAAATTTGACGTCGTAAAAAAAGGCTCACATGGAACCTAGGAATGCTGAGTTTTATTCTTTTTTACGAAGCACGCACACAGCGCACATCTTCTACTCGTATGGTATCTATTCCAATTTGCAAAATATCTTCGACCCAATTCTAAAACGATTTAAATGATCACCTCCAGAAGCATAATGCATTTAGTGGTCACCGAGAGGCGCTCGCTCATCGACACGGTCCCGTCTAAAATCTGATGTATTTTAGCGACTCTGCGCCTGCCTGGTGCGACCCTGATCTTGGTGTGCAAATTCGATCCGTCTTGACGGGTCCTGTGGAGCTCGTTCTGAAATTCGTGAATCAGCGAAAAACCTGCT